GAGAGAGAGAAAGAGAGAAAAAGAGAGAGAGAGAAAGAGAGAGAGGGGGAGAGAAATTTAAAAAATGAAGAAAGATAAAAAGATAAAAAGAAAGAAAGATAGAAAGAATTAGTTGGCAAGCATTGGTTAAATGGGTAGCATACTGTTCTTGTTTGCAATTGATCAAGGTAATGACTGACAGAATTTTCCATCGGTACAGAGATACAACCTTATCTGATATTCTTTCTAACAGACTCACCGTCAGCGACATGAGTTTCATTAAAAATGTGGACAAGTAATAGAGTGGGCAAACAGTGTAGCTTGCCAATAAATGGGAAGACCTAGTTTGCGTGCTGTGACATCATTCCACGTCAAAATACTGTTTGAAACTCGACATACCAACCGGATTTCGGCGTCCATTAACACCCAAGCACGACTTCCGATTTTTTCGACAAGTCATATAGTGCTCACATCCCTTAAATATGCGTAAAAGAGAAAAAAAAAAGAGAAGAAAAAAAGACAGAAGAAAAAATTCTTTGAACTCACCGCCGGTATGATGAGTGTCCCAATGCCCTCAATCAGAGACCGGATGTCCACTTTCTTCTCGCCGCCCATCTCGCTGTCCGCTTCCGATCCGAGAGACGAAGTTGTCGAAATGTTGCTGGTCTTTCGCAAACGAGGCGAACCCTCGCCCGAGCCGTAGTTGGAAGGCTCCGAGTTCGTATCTTCCATAATCTTGGTGGGCCCGTCTTCGAGTACGGTGTAGAACTTGACGTGGTTTGGGTTGGGCGGCGACACTTTGCGGCCCACGCTGAGGATAGGGGGAGGGGAGATTTTCCTCATGTTTGGGTTTGTTGTGGTCAAGGATTTTGACGGAGAGGACGGGAGGGAGTTTGTTGGTGTCAGGTTCGGGCTGCTGCTCAGACTGTTGTTGCTGTAGTTGCTGTAGTTGAAGTGAGTGGTGTCGATAGTCGGCGGAGTCGGGCTACTGCTGATGGTGTTGATTCTGATGGTGCTGTTCTTGGAGTTGTTGATGTTGACGTTGGATGGGGGCGACGACGACGATAACGAGGAGGAGGAGGTGGGGGTGGTTGTGTTGGTAGCAGTGGTTTGGGAGGCGGTCACGTTGCCATTATTGCTGCTACTGCTGCTGCTGCCGCTGCTGTTGTTGTTGCTACTTGAAAGCAGACCACCCCCTGATATACCACCCCCACCCCGCGCTTTCAGGAGGTCTTCTTCCATCGCTTTCTTGACTGGGCAGCTCATGATTTACTTTGTGCTTTTCTGCGTAATGGATGTTGAAACGGCAATCCAATAATGATATACAACCTCAAATACCACGGCCCACTTCCTAATGTATTAAAGCCCACAGCACTAATCCACAGAAAGAAAAATCAGCACGGGAGAAAGTTGTTCTCTGTTCTTTGACAGACACGTAAAATTGAAATTCCACAAATTTTTTCTCTGTAATGAAAGGCAAGCCAGACCAGCTCTTTCAATGATGTCTGCGCCTAATCACACAAGGACGAGGTTAAATTTGTCCTCAGCTCATTTAAAGAAGAACTGGATGAAAGTAGGTTAGTTAGAGAAGCTTGTTTTTTTTTTAAGCCAGCTGATTACAATGATACTTTTACGCTCCAGTAGTCGGGGGAACAGATCCAGTTTCAAGATCATTAGTGGTTTTCAATAACGCTCGTCCAAAATCAATGAGATCTTGTAAGAGACAATCAAAGGGTAACTCAAGATGAGAAGCTTTTTATTTTTAATTTAGAAACTAAGAAACTACAACACTTTTTTTAAAACAATACAAATTGGTTTTCTGGTTGTAGTATGCGACATGCACGTTTCTTTGATACATGAGTCACATTTCCTAGATGAAAGTTTCGAATTTTCACATCGAAAGTTATTGAAATCCCATTGCAATCTGGGTTTATTTGTTTGTCTTGAACGTATCCTTTTCTTTCTGTTTGTCTGTGATATTTATCGTTGTTCGCACAGTGTGACTGTTGGACGTAAAACAGACAACTGTGACTGGTATCTTGCAATGAAGGCTTGGTGGGGCAGTGTGCTCTTCTTCAAACAATCCGACACGTCTGCAAAATAAAACGAAATAAAAATGGAGATGAAAATTCGGTTTCGATTAGATTTACGATGAGAGGAGTCTTGGACTGTATGTTCACATTTTAAACAAAATACTATCCAAGTAATTGTTATATTCTGTCAAGCATCTGCAAAAGAGGCAACAGTAAACACATTTTCTTCACATTTGATCGATATCATAGATATGTATATAATATTATCTTTTGTATTTGATTCACTCAGTGTAAAATCAGTCAGCAAAGGTTCACTTGACCACTCTATTAAGAACTTACTTGACCCCCCCCCCCCACACACACGGGGGTCTCCAAACTGTGTTGGGCCATATTTGAGTAGCCATGCCGGTATGAGCTAAAGACACTTACAAACATACTACTTTAAGAATGGGGGTGAGGGGTGGACGCAAGAGAACTTTTACTGATGAGCCAGCACAGTATGTACATTCAAAATGTTTGCAGGAATAAACAAACGATGATTTTATACTCATGATTATGTAGAAACAACAGATCTACCCTCGTTGCGCAAGGTTGCATAACGTCAGCCAGGTGTTCCGACCTACTAAGTCCAAAATGTTTACCCTTTTTTTCCGTTTCTCAACAGGTCCCTACCTTTGAATTACTAAGTTCTATCTGACAGTTTTGGTCGTTTCGAGCGACTAAGACCATGCGGTAAAAAAACAAATATTCTATCTGCTCTATCAAACTCGTAAGACTTTTCGAAGTTGTTATCAAAATACGGTATTCAAAGAAGTGCATTTGAAAACGTTTGACTACAAAGATTGTACACAACAAGATAGTTCACTCCTCTCTTTGAGCCAAATAAAAAAGTGCCCTCAAAATTCGGTGGCGCCCTCTTCGAAAAAGGGTGGACTTTGCGATCAGAGTTACCCTACTTGTGTGAAAAACAATTAAAGTGAAACTAACAAACTGTGCTATTCCTATTCTTCTTCTGAAGAAAAAACGAAAGAGAGCTTCAAAACCACCATCATCAATAATTTATTTATAGAGGCACCAGCCATTCATGTTCAGGTGCTGTTTTAGCCAGAGCTTCAAAACAAAGACTGCAGCGCCATCTGAACCAATGCGCGGACCTCCGCGAACATTTTTTGGCTGAGTGAACTATCTTGTTATGAACGATCTTTGTTGACAATTGGGGAACTCAAAATCTTTGACGTCAAGTTATGTCTCCAAACTAGGCACTGAGAAGATATAACTTTGTAATTCTAAGGTAGCGGGCTGGTATGGATTGTGCGTATTCGAGAAATATTTTGCTGAAATTGAATTCAAGTTCTGAGCGTTAAAAAAACAGCAACAAAAGATATATAAAATATTTTAAATTTCTAAAAGAATGCAGCTTTTTTCTCTCTCGTGATTTTTTTTCTTTCCCAGCTCAGAGAAGTTGAACAGCTTGAGAACGGTAAACGTCATCATAGAAAAGTAAAAAAATAAAACTTTTTTTTTTTTAAACTATGACAAAAGCAACGTGACTTTAAAATAGTTTTCAAACTTGAAAAAGTTTTTGTTCTCAATTTTACGCTCAAATTAGTTCTTCATTGCATTCTTTTCTCAGGAAAATCGGAAATGTCACCCGCTGACAGTTTGGCGGAAGCAATTATTGATGGTTTAAGACCAGATCAACACAATTGGGATCTTTAATCAATGACAATGAGGCGAGATGCTTCGACAATGATGCCATCAATCTGTCAGTTCCAACTCAGAATGCATAAGAGCAGACATCCCAGAAGAAAGACGGAGATACTCTTTACAAAAGAACAGACTTTTCACACAACAATCGAGCTCACACCTTGACTGTGAACAAAGACGTTTTATAGCACCGACGCCGGTGATATTTCGTAGACACACATAAACGTTTTCAAAGTTCAATATGAAGTCTAGTTTTAGAAAGAATTTCACCGTAATGGCAAAACAAATGTGTCATATCATAAAGTGTTGAAGATTAGAAATGATTCTAATAAAGAGTAATATACAGAGAAAAGAAGAAGGGGGGATAAGGAAGATAGATAATTATGTGATAGGAAAGAAGGAGCAATCACACAAGAAAACCGGCTGCCCAACCACCCAAAACCTCTGGGTTTTGGATTTGTTTCTTGTTTGTTTGGTTGTTTGTTTGTTGTTGGGGGGTTGTTGTTT